TTCTCTTCCCCCAACAAATCGTCCTGAATTCACTCCGATATCCCGAGCCCAAGCAGAGGACATGAACTCCGGCGGTCAACACAGCATTTCTGGACTCGCAATATCCGTTACGGAACCTATCCGCTCGTTTCTTCTCTCCGCCTCCAAGGACCCGCACCTGTCTCAAGAACTTCGAGGAGTCGCTTCGAATCTCTCTTCACAACCTCATGTACTGTACAAGCAGATTCGAAATATATGGATTAGTACGAGTGCCGAGAGTCGTCCCGACTTGCTTCAGCTGTTCTCCGCCTCCGATTTCGTTTTCTCCAGACCTAAGCCTAGAGAGAAGGTAAATTTGAATCTAATTTTGATCTAAAGCTTTATGATGCAGCATATTCAATTTCTTAGAGTAAATTTTATCTGTTAGTTTTAGTTTCGGAAGTTTTGGATTTAATGGATTTAGTGAAGAGAACAATTAGGATGCTGAACTTTGAGTTAATTTCTAGTTTATAAATCTTAAAACTTTGATCTCAAAAAATGGTCATAACAAAAATCTTTCGTTTTCGTTTCTGTTTTTAAGAGAAATTGATATGATTTTTAAAGGTCATTATATAATCCTTAAAACTTAGCTTGTTTATGTTTAACTTTTTAGAGTGAAGAATTGAAGGCAAGATTAAGGAAGCTTGCAGAATTAGCAGAGAGGAAGGAATACCAGGAGCTTGTTAAGGATATCGCGCCAAAGAAGGATATTAATGAACCTTTCTCTTCATACAAGGATCAGCTTGGTTTTGGTTAGTATTACTTCTTGCCTTTTTTGTTGTCTATCTCTCAAAATTAATGTATTTTTATTGTTTATATTCTTAATGGGAAAATTTATATTCAAAATTGTGTTATGAGCTTGCAGGTTTTAAGATTAGGAGGGCCTATTCTTGTTGACCTTAGGTTAAAATAGGGATGATTATCTATAGTGTCTCTAGGCTACTTTTTAGCTGAATCAATAATAATCAACTTCTTTTTGCTTGTTGGGCGTCGGAATGCTTCAAATTGAATTGCTTTTATGGGTTTTGCTTCTCTAGTTCTTTTTTTATCAATATATGATCATGCTTTCAAGCTTAGTTTTCTTAAGGCAGGCTGTCGTTTCTGTTTTGGAATATGTCTTTTTTGTTTTGCCTGTCAACTATTAGAAATTAGAATGCATAATATGATAATGGTGTATTTATTACTTATCCTTTAACTTTGTTATCCATTTACTTGATCTTGTTCAAGTTCCATTTTACAGCTCATAGCACATACCTTAATTTTATATAAAATTTCTGATTGATTGCTGAAGCTAAGATCTATTTGTATTCTCCAGGTTTGCATGTCGTGCTGATAATGTTTACTGGTTATTTGGTTGGATATGCGGCATTTAGAGCATTATTTAACCATAGTCCTGTGATGGTACCCTTCAACTATATCTTAAAATTGCAGATTTCTTAATGTCAATATTTGCAACTTTCATATCCTTAATATTCCTGGTTCTGAATTTGGTGACTGTGATTTTTGTTTTCAGAATGCTGCTGGAGGTATCCTGGGATTGGTTTTTGGCATGCTCCTCGAAACACTTCTGTTCATTATTAGAACTTCTGATCATGGTCACCAATCACCATCTCCGACTTCCAGGGTGAAAAAGAATCAATAAGCTAGTTACTAAGTGGTGCACCTTCATTTCTTTTCTGAACTTTCTAATTTCTGTTGTACATATCAACTAACCATGTTGTTGAACTTGTCTACTGGGTACACAAGCATGTAATCAGGGGACGAGCTATTGATATTTTGTCACTACTGTCCCAGATATTCTTTTAAGAAGACTTGGTTGAGGTATGGATGAAATCTGAAAATAGTGAAAATGAATTTCCTTTTGAAACAATCCATTTTTTAGTGAAATTCTGTCAAGACAAACCATCTTGAGATGTGTTTAATTTGGTTAAGGTGATAGCGTGTTAAAGATTTACTATTTTGATTTAGAGTTGACGGTAGGATGTGGCCAGATAGGTTTTTTGATGCAGAATTGGATCCTTGTATTAAATCCTTACATGACAGGGCAGTCTCCTCTCCCTTGGTGCTTTTAGAAAGTTTGGGAGATAAAAGGGTGTTTGGTACTTTGGTTTAGTGTTTCAAATATAGCAGATATTGGAAAGTGGATATCACAGCTAATATTTATTCTTGTTTATATTTCTAATCCAAAGTCCAAACCATCAACTGTTAACTTCAAACCTTTTACAAAACACCCTTAAAGAAATGCAAATTTCAGATTGGAAACAAGTTTGGAAACTTGGAAAGCATTCTATCAAATATCAGATTGTTTAATCCTTCAGAACTGCAAATTTGGAATGAGGCATAGGCCCGGTCTGAACTTGCAAGGGATTGGTTGTGTCAGACTGGGGACTGAGGCTCTGCCTTATGGCTGGGTAGACTAGTTTGTTTTGAACTGCCGGGCGGCGTGTAGTAAACTAAACCATGGTAAAAGAGGATGGAAAAGTAGGTTTAGGCAGAATACTGGCGACGTACGTCTTTTTTTTTTGGCTTAGATTGTCAGGGATTGATATCTATAAGCTATCTTAATGATTTGTTTTTTTTTTTTTTTTTAAATAACGATTATACTGATAATATTAATATTTATTTTTTAAAAGATGGGAAAATGTTAAATTTGAACTCAAACTTCATATTATTTGAGATGTTATCACTTTATTTCTTAAAAATAATGTGATTACTTGAATCATATGGTGATCGATTATAAGTAATTTTGAAGATGTACCTTTTACATTTGTGTGTGATGATTAATGCATTGAAAAATATTAGTAATTCTCTCGTAAACTTATATTAAAATTGAAATATTTATAAAATAATATTTATTTAACAATAACTTTAATTTTTATAATATATTTAAGTTGGAAGAAAGAAAAAAAAATTATTTTATTATAAAAAAGTTAAAAAGGAGAGAGAAAAAAATTTACTTTATAAAAAGAAAAAAAATAAAATAAAAATATATAATTCTTTTTTCTTTTTTTTTTTTTAATTTCCCTTAACCTAAATACGCGGCTATTAGACCGAGAGCCACGCGGAGCACATTGTATTGTGCTCATGTGGCATCACGTGGGGTCGGTGGTCCCCTTCCCAAGTTAGACACTGTATCCAAGTTCACGGTTGGAGGCTTGTTGAAGCTTAAAAATTCAATGAACGAAACAAAAAAAACAAGTAAATAAAAAATGTCAAATGTCTAATTGGATGTTGAATGAATTTAGATCAAGGGAAATGGACAAGCTTGCTTAATTCTTGTACCTTTATGTATAAAACACTTAAAGCAGATGAGAAGTGGTCTGTTTCTTTTTTTCTTTTTTTTTTAAATAATTTCAATTTGAGGTAAAAAAACAAAAAAATTATAGAAATTAGTATTTGTTTACCTTATTTTTAAAAAATTAAGAGAAAGAAATAAAAAAATATCATAATTTATGGTTTAAAAATAAGATATTTAAATTTTTTTAAATATATATTTATTAAAATGACGTAATTTTGAAATAATATTTTTTCTCATTTTTAGAATATAAGATAAATAAATATTATTTTAAAATTATAATATAATAAAAAATTTTAATTGTTATTAAAAAATTAAGTTTATCTAACGAGGGACCATATAACCGGGTGCAGAAGGGGTCTGTTTCTCACATTTCTTTGGTAGGAAACAGCCTGAGCACACAGAAAACTACAAAATACTACAGTTACTTGGGTCAAATTATTCAATAAGATGCATCTATATTTACATTCTAGGAATTGTGATCGCAACAACTTTAAAATTAATTATTAGCAAGTTTAATTAATCAAGATGAATAAAAACATGCACCGAGCCTTGGGGCCAAGTGGCAAAAGCCACCCAAGGTGCATTTCCCCTCCCCAGGCTGAGGTTCAAACCCAGCCCTTGTAAAATCTGTTAAAAAAAAAAGATGAATAAAAACATTTATATTGTAAACAATAATAATGGTAGATTATCTATGCATGCATTTTTTTTGTAAGGAAAAACGATTAAAAAATAATATTATATATAATTTTTTCATATAGTTTTATATATTATTTAATAATAAATTTAACTAAAATTTATAATATGATATATACAATACATTTACTCTAATAATCACATTTGAAATAAAAATCACACTATTATTATAAGACAATGATATAGAGATAATTGTATAATATAATTATTTTATATAACGTTTACATATTATTAAATAATTAAAATCTCAATTTTAAATTACGTCATTTTATTTAATTAAAATTTCTAAAAAAATTATCTTTAAATTATTTTTGTAACCATAAGAGCTAGTAGGTCCATGGCCATCCACGTGGATTGCCACATCACCCAGTCACCATTTTCTTGTGTCTGGCGGAAAGGCTTTCCTTTCCGCCTTCCCCATTCGCCGGCTCCCGCGCGCCATGCCTACCTTCACGAGCAAACGTACACGTGTCCTCATCTCCAACTCCTAGAAAAGTCACCATAACCACATCCTACGGCCTTCAATGACTTGCATTCACACTATAAAAAGCCACGGGAAGCCCGTCCTGACTGACAGTATGTTGCGGTAGAAATTAAAAACAATCAACAATACATCAATGGAAGCTCGTCTTTTGAGAACCGGATCGATTCCACTCCGGTCACCGGCTCTGCCAGGATCGCCAAAAGTACATCTCTCGCGTCACGGTTCCGGAGTCTTCTCCGGCGAGAGAACCTCTAGTTCTTCTAAAACCTCGCTCCATCTCGAAATGAATGGTCGAAGGGATCGCGCTCCTATAAGGCGAGTGATGTCGGATTCCGACGTTATCCGATTGACGAGCAGTGTTTTTGGAGGATCTCGGTGTTTTCAATCAAGAATACCGGAGGAGGAATGTGTGTCCGATGGTGAGGTGGATGACCTTTTATCATTCATGAGCAGGGGAGTTGATTGGCCAAGTTACACACCAATAGCTCCCGAGTACAGTATTCCAACCGACGAGTTTGGGATTTCTGGCAACGGAAAGGGAAGATCGGGAAACGACGACAGAAAATCTGGAGACGGTAACGGAGATGGTAGATTCGGTGATAGGAGCAAAATCGGCGACCATTACAGAGAAATGTTGAAACTTAATCCCGGCGATTCGCTTCTGTTGAGAAACTACGGCAAGTACATGTATGAGGTAATTCAAATTAAACTTCGTCTTCACGTTTATTATGTTCAATCAATTGAATCATTTGAATTTATCGAATTCGATCTTGTTATTGTTGGTTCCGAAGGTGGAGAAGGACGTTGAGAAAGCAGAGGAGTACTTCGGAAGGGCGATACTGGCGAGTCCCGGCGACGGAGAAGTGTTGTCTCTGTATGGGAAGTTGATTTGGGAGACGCAGAGAGACGAGGGCAGGGCCAAGTCTTATTTTGATAGAGCTGTTTGTGCTTCTCCTGATGATTGGTACTTCCTCTTTCTTCTCCGTTTCCTTCCCTTGGATGAGACTAAATAGCATATAATAAAACCAGATTGATTTTGTGAAAATTTTCTTGTGGATCAAACACTGACTAATGGGAATCGATTTGTGTGTTTGGTGCAGTATGGTGCTTGGATCGTATGCACGCTTCATGTGGGAATCAGAGGAGGATGAGGATGAAGAAGAAGTGGGAGTTTCACCGGCCATGGTTGCAGCCTTCTAGCAAAAATAGAAAATATTTGATTAATAATTTAATAAATCGTAATTAACACTTGTTATTAGGCGTAATGTTAATTAAGTGGGTCTGATTAACTTCAGTAACAAGACAATAAGTCATGTAATTTTCAGCCTTTATGATTTTGCTTAT